GTATATAAGTAATTAAAAGTAAAAAAAAGTTAGGCCTGTCATCGACTTTTGTGAGGTGGATTTTCCACGTAATCTAAGTAAAAAATAAAATAAAATTTTTCGTTAATTAACTTGCCACATCAGACAAAATTTAACGAAAGGACTAAAAAGGGGCTAGATTTTAAAATTTAAAGACCAAAAAGGAGATTTTTTCGGTACAGGGACTAAAAAAGGGCTTTTTCCTATAGTAGAGGAACCAAAAAGGATATTTAACCTTTAAAAAATTCTAATCCACTAATAATTTAGTACAAAAAAAACTATCTAAATTAACTTTTTCAATCTACTAATCTAGTAACTGTTTGAAATCCAACCGCTATCTACTAGTTTCTGCTAAATAAAAATTTTTACCAAATACATAATTTATAGTAATTTCAAAATAAATAAATTTACTAAACACATCTCTTTAATTATTTGGATAAACTCCTTATTTCTAAACCGTTATACCAAACAAGCCTTTAATATTATTTTGGAATGTATAAATTTAATTATCTATTTTTTCTTTGTAAGTTGTCATTTATTAATGTACTTATTCATATTTTACCTTTATTTTAAAAATATAATTACAATATATTCCAAATAAATGTTGCTATCTACTAACTTTTTCATAAAATTAAGAATTTAAGAAAAATATATGTGTTTATTTATATTATCCATAAATAAGAAAATAATAGATAGATAAAGATTTTTTATGATATAATAAATAATTAAAATGAGCATTTAATGATAGGATTAAAGTTGAAAAAAATATATTTATGTTAAAAAATGACAATTAATTTAAGATAAATTTCAAGTAAAGAATTATACATAATTATTTTGGGATGAAGGATGAAATAAATAACAAGGTTTATTTAAGTACTGTAGTGATTAGTGATTAATTATAGATAAATATAAAATCTTTATCAATTAATTATTATATCAAATAAAAAAAAATAGACTTATTAAAATTAAACAGAAAAGTAAATGATGGTACTATTGTTGGCCAGAGTGGTGTTTTCAATATAGACTACAATTTTTTGTATAATTGAAGTATTAAAATTATCAAAATATCATTGATAAATAAACATAAATAACAATTTTATTAAAAAATATTTTAATAATTTTAATATTCATTAAAGTACAATCTGTACTTAAAAAAAACCTATTCCTGTTATACAGACTAATTCAACACATTAGAATTTCACCTTACTATTAAAAAAAAAGGGACATTTTGTGTTTGTTTCATATAATTAGGGAATTGTTGATGAATTACTTCCATTGACTTCTCAAAAATATCATTCTATTATGGTAAGGAAAAATGAACTTGTCTAATAAGGTAGGTAAATCCCGTCATCAATTCTGCCCAGCCCCGTATGGTAATAAAGAACAGATTTAACTAATACTCCTTAACAGCAAAATAAGCCTGTCAACCTTTTTTTTTTTTTTTTGACCATATTAAAATTAGTTATGTATATTAGTTAAGTGAGAGAAGAAAAAATAAGATTTGTGAAATTTAAACGCATCACTCATAAAAAGTGAACGACTCTAATATAATATTCATGTCATTGGATCAAAGTGGATTGTTTGTCGAAATTAACTTATCAGTGGTATTTTGATTAGAAATGAAAATATAGGTTAAGGTTTTTAAAAGTTTAAATTTGATGTTATAAATTTAGACTATTTAAAATCGTTGTTGTTTCTTGTTTTTAATTTATCCTTTTGTAATTAGTAACCAATAGTGTATGCA